GGCACTTATATTTAGAAAAGGAAAATAGTTTAAAAAGATAAAAAGTATCTTGCAAAGACACTCTGTTTTTATAAAGGCTGTGCCCTGATCCTTCTCACAGACATTTTTTGTAACGTTTTCTATTTTTTTTATTATCTTCTTGGCAGTTTTTACATAATTAATTAGGGTAAAAAGGTTCAAGGGCTACAGGAAAATGGGTAAGACTATTAGCTCCGTATTGTTACCTTCATGTATCTGAGGTAAAGGGGATTTTAAGGGAGAAGCCCCACCCAGGCTCCCACCCACCCCAGGTCCTTGATGTGGGGCATGCTCTGAGATTCTTGGTAAAGTGGTTTGATAGTTCATCAGTTATGAATTGCTGCCAATCTCACCACTCCAAGCACGATAAGGTCGTTGAAGAATCCACTGATTGACATAGTCCATCTTAGAGTCTCTCTTTGCCCAATTTTTCACTGCCAACATATAGCTGAGGTGGTTGATTGACTTGTTCTGTCCTCTGTATTTTCATGGTTAGGGTTCTGAATCCAGAAGCTCATTTGGGGGGGATCCCCAAAGAAACTTTGAGGTGTTCCCAGACCAGATTCTTGTATGTACTAGCAAGCACAGAGCCTGGCACAGTCCATCGCCCCGATCAGCTGGTGGTTGCAGTTGCTGGGTTGGTTCTGTTTCCAGTGCTGTCTTCCATGTGAACCAAAGGATGTTGCAGTCCAGCCTGATTCTGCCCAGCACACCCTCAGCCCTCACACAAACCAGTGGGAACTGCAGCCTAATCGGAGCAGCCCACAATAATCCCCACCAGACCCTCCCCCTGCCCTGTTTTGCCAGTATGTGTAGCAGACTAGTCCAGTCTGTCCCACATCCCGTTCGGATCTCATACATGTCAATGGGTATTAAAGCCTAGTTTCATCTAACCAGCTCCACTATCCAGCCCTCACGGATGTTGTTGGGTGCCTCTCTGTCAAGCCACCCCAGCCCTGTCCCAGTTTCCTGCTCTCCCATGGGAGTGGTAACCCAAGAGGCAAGAGTCCCCTTTTCCCTCCCTGGCCACTCCTATTCCTGGATTATGCACTCAGAAGGTGGTTGTGTGGTTTAACCATTAAACCCAGTGCCAGCTTCTACCAGCTGATGCTGCAGTTAACCCAAACAGCCCTCACCCACTCTCCTTGTAGCTTGCCCCAGTAGGAACAATCAGCCCAGCCTGGCTTTTCCTTGATCTAGCTCACATGAGGTGCACAGGTGTTGTAGCTGTGCTTAGTCTGGTCTGCCCCCATCCCAGCTCACGCTCTCCAGTGGGAGAAGCCATAGGCAAGGGAACCCTCCCCCATTATCCCGCTACTGGTTCCGCCCCCTCCGTTCCTGGTTCTCACACAGGTATTGGTTGGATGCTGTGGTCACATCCAGTACAGGCAACCTCACCTTGGCATTCTGTATTGTGCACTGTTTTTTGTAGGAGGACATTGTGACCCAAGAGGGTCAGCGAGCACAGGATTACAGTTGATTGGCTAATAATTGCATGAGAACAACCAAATGGCTACCTTTTGTATACCTGATTCGATATCATTTGTATAAGAACAGTTGAATGGACAGTATGTGTGTGAGAACACTTGGTGGAATATGCAAGACAAAAGGAGTTCCAAACAAAAGCATAGCAACTGTTACTGGGTTTTGTTGAGGAGCTCAATACTTCTTCCCTTATTCCACATGACCCTCAGTGTGTAAAGTCTGATGCCACTAATAAACTTCGGCTTTGACCATCAGTCAGGGTTTAAACATGTTATTATCGGCGACAGTGACAGTTTTTGTCGTGACCGAACCTGGCTCGGTCCACACTCTATTCTGGTGCTTGGTTTTGGCAGTGGATGACGTGAACTGATTCAGCCTGGTCTGCCCCCGACCCATGCCAAATGTATGCCAGTGGGAAATTTTCCATGACCTGTTCTGGGCTGTTTCTTTCCATGTTTCTTGCATTTACCTGCAGGGTCTGTGTCCTGCCAGGGGAGTTGCCCAGGCTCCTCCATCAGAACATCTCCAAGTGCCAGATTTCGTGCATACCAGCAGGTCCATGAGCCAGCCCTGCTCAGTTACCTCCTGTCCTAGCAGGAATGATGGCTTTTCTTGACTGGACTTCAACCCCATTTGGTTCTTGCTGTTGGATGTTTCAGCTCAACCATGGCTCATCCATACTCACATACAGCTCACACATGGTTCAGTAGGGGTTGAGACCTAGTCTAGTCAATCCCACATCTACCCTGGTCCTCCAGAACACCAGATGGTGTTGCAGTCCACACTTGTGCCAAGGGAGACTACAACCGTTTCCTGATCAGAACGCAAGCCCCCTTCCAGCCCATGCGCCCATTGGTGGGAACCTCAACCCAGTTAGGCTGTGTCCCCTTAACTCCCCAACTGGGCCTGTTCCCAGCAGTAGATCACGCGCATGGCAGTGGTTGCTCTGACTTAGCCTGGCTTAGTCCCTCATCTGTCCTGACCCTTGCCTAGGAGACTGTGGCTTAGCATCCCTGGTTCACGCAGACCAGTAGGTGCAAGAGCCTATTTTGGCATGACCTGTGCACCATGCTGGTTTCTAGTTTTGCTTGTGGGCTAAGGTTTGCTTAGTCCTGCCCGGTACACCCCGTACCATTACCAATTTACACATTGGCCAGCTGTTGGAGCTACTTTGCCCAGCATTTCCCATCCCCAGGTCTGAACCACATGTTCACCATCAGGAGCTATGACTCTCCAGGGAAGTTTCCCAAGTTCCTCCACTTGATCCAGAACCTGCTCTCATACATACCATTGGGTTTTAGGCCAGTGCCTGGCACAATCTGGCTTTCCATTTGGCCTTGTATGAGCTGGTGAACGTTGCAGCCTGGCCCACCCCACACCCTATTCAAGATGCACATTTGTGTGCTGCTGCCTTGACCAGTCGAGACTATTGTTGGTTCCTTTATTTGTGAGTAATGGCAAGTTCCTTAGTCACACCTAGCTTAGTCCATCACCACCCAAAATCTTGAGCTAACCAGTGGAGCTAGTATTTCCACGGAGTTTGGTCCACACATCCCCCACAGAATCTACCCCTGGATATGGTTCTCTCGAGTGCTAGTTAATGTCAAGGCCGTGCCTAATGTGACCGTTTCCTGATGCATCATCCTGTCAGGTAATACGATATGATCCTGCTTGACAAGCCCTGAGTCTCAGCTTTTGCATGGACTGGTGTTCGGTGGTCAGCATTGTTCAGTGATTACAGGTTCTTCAAAGGAAAAGTTACTCTGTCGTTACTTCTGTCACAGCCCAGAAGCACAGTGGGTTCAACGTGGAGTTATCTAAGCATCAATTCAACGAACAAAAACCCCAGAGCTCCCGGCCGGACTGCCAGCAGGAAGAGCCTAGAGCCAAATGGCGCATGGCCGCCCAGGGACAGCTCACCACATATAGGTGGTGACTGGAGTCAGGGATCTGAATATGGAGACGCCCCGGCCTGGCGCCAACCAGCAGCAGGCAGGCTGCAGGAAGTTTCAATTCCCAGTCCCAAGGTCATACCCCTCCCCATCCCATCCACTGTCCAGTGGGGCCGGCAGGTGACCCCGGGCCTGCCTGGGCCTGCCCGGGCCTGCTCCGGTCCTGAGACCCACCTCCTGCCTGGTGTACTAATGGTGTACTAACTGAGAAGGGAGCAGGCCCTGGAGCCCAGGCATGCTTGGGGACAGTTCACAACGTGTACATGGTGGCTGGAGTCAGGGATCCGAGCCAGTGATTAGCTTTTTAAAAAAAAGTTTATAATAATCTGCTTGGAAGTCAGAATGAGAGAGAGAGAGAGAGATAGAGATCTTTGATCCTTTGGTTCACTTACCAGTGGCTGTAACAGCCAGGTCTGGGGCAGGCCAAAGCCACCCAGGTCTCAGGTGACAGGGCCACAGGCGTGGGCCACGGGCTGCTGCAGCCCGGATGCGTTAGTGTAAAGCTCTGTTGGAGGTGGTGTAACCGGGACTTAAACTTGCTCTCTAGTATTGCATGTGGGCTCCATACACAGTGGCTTAGCTTGCTATATCACAACACCTGTTCTAAGTTCATAACTGCTTAATGTAGTAATTTAGAGCTTAGAGTTTACGTGATAAGTTCCATTTTCTGGTAGTTTTTCTGGTAGTCAGAGTTACAGAGAAAGAGGGAAAGACAGAGGGAGAGATACCTCCCATCTGCTGACTTGCTGTCCGACAGTTCATAGCAGCAGTGCTGGGCTTGTCTGAAGCTGAGAGCCTGCAGCTTCTTCTAGGTCTCCTTCGTGGGTGGGTGGGGGGGGGCTAAAGGACATGGGCCATCTTCCTGCTTTCCTAGGCCAACCAGGTAACTGGACAGGAAAGTGGAGCAGCTGGGACATGATTCTGTGTCCATATGGGATGCCAGTAGTGGCAGGCAGAGGATTAACATGTTATGCCACTGCCCTTCCAAGGTTGTCAAAAAAATGTATCTATTTGTCAGCATTTGTTTGCTATACTGCACTAACTTACTGAGGCAGACTACTTTATAAAGAGATGTTTATTTTGGCTGCAGTTGTAGAGACTCACAGTGTAAAATTGGGCAGACCTCATTGGTTCAGTCTCTGGAGCTGGTGATCTGGTTTGCAGAGTCCTGAGGTGGCACAGGGTACCTCATGGCCAGAGACAAGAACTGTGCATGTCTTTGCCTCTGTGTGGCCCTTCTTCAGGATTCACCCCTGGGGCTCCACTCAAGGCACCAGCCAACAAACACTGTGATTGGGTTATGATTCCTGCTCTCAGTGCCATTAACAAAATCTTTTGGAGACTGACCCGAGTTGGTTGGGAAGATAGTCAGACTATAACAATTTAGTGCTCTGTGAACAATTGCACTAACAGATGATTGTTATTATTATTTTTTTTGTTTAAAATGCTATAAGGAGGTGGTTTTATAAGTTGCTAATTGCAGGACTTTAATTTGGAATGTTTTCTTTGCTAAATAAAGTTATTGTCTATCTTAATGTTGTTTAGGAAGATTCTTGCCTTTGAAGACAATGTTGGGACCAAGATACGATAGTCAAGTTGCTGAAGAAAATCGATTCCATCCCAGCATGCTCTCAAATTATCTCAAGAGTCTAAAGGTAAGAACACAAACTTGTTGCTACTGACTTAATATACAGGTTCTGTTGTTCTTCAGGTAAGTCTAAAGAAACCTTTTTCGTTTGAAATATTTAATAGTCTCGGTAGTTGCAAATACTGTACAGAAAATACTTTGCCCAGCTTCTCCCAGTTGTGACATTTTATCTGAAGCCTAAGGAAATTGGCTTTGACATAGTCTTTACTTGGGATCTTTGTGAGCATGTGTGTAATTCTGTACAGTTAAATCCTACGTGTAAATTCCTGGTGATTGTGATGGCAAAACTGCTACACCTGCCCAAAGGAACACCCTCATGCTACCTCTTGTAGTCAGACCCTCTCCCTGCTGTCCTGGGAGCTGCTCATTTGTTTTTGTTGCTGTAATTTGGTCTCTTTGAGAATGTTGCGTAAGTGGGATAGAAGATAGCATAGGACATGAGCTTTTTTTTTTTTTTTTTGCCATTCCTCAGCATAATGCTCCTGAGGTCTGTCCAAACACTATAGTTTATTCTCTTGCTGAAGGAAACTGGGGCTTTCCAGCGGTGGGATGACTAAGGCAGTGTGAACATTCATGTCTCACATTTTGTGTGAATGTAAGTATTCCTTGGTCTGGGAGTGGTACCCTCTGTGCGTTTGGTCACTAGGCATAGCTTAAGGAGATGCGTGGTTTTATAAGAAACTACCAAACTGTCTCTAGAGTGTTTTTTCCATTTTATGTGCTTTTCTTCTGCTTTTTTTAAAAAAATTTTTTTGTTGGAAAGGCAGATAGACAGAAAGAGCTTCCTTTCACTGATTCATTCCCCAAGCGGCTGCAGCGGCTGGAGCTAAGTTGATCCGAAGCCAGGAGCCAGGAGCCTCAGCCAGGTCTCATGCAGGTGCAGGGTGTGTGGCCTCCTTTTCCAGGCCACAGGCAGGGAGATGGATGGGAAGTGGGGCCACTGGGATTAGAACTGGCACCCATATGGGATCCCGACATGTCCAAGGTGAGGACTCTAGCCACTAGGCCACCGTGCTGGGCCCTTTATGTGCTTTCTTTCCATGTAGCTTTTTTGTAAGAGTAAATGAAACTTTTTTTTTTTGCCACTATTTTTTGATCCTGGTCCAAGTTGTATTTCCGCTTTCTTGAGCTGTGGTGATTAGAGCAGGTTGTAATAATGGGAGACTTACCTTGATCACATCTGCACGGACCCTGCTGCCTGTTCTTGTTACGATCGTGATTATAGGTGCTTGGAGTTTGAACACAGCTTCTTCCTTTTTTTTTTTTTTTTTTTTGTTAAGATTTATTATTTGAAAGAGTTACATAGAGGAAGAAACACACACACACACACACACACACACACACACACACACAGATATGAATATGTTCCATCTGTTGGTTCATTCATTACATGGCCCAAATGGCCAAGGCTGGACTAAGGCTGAACCCAGGAATTAGGAGCTTCTTATGGATCTTCCGCATGAGTGCAGGAGGCCCAAGCACTTGGGCCATTTTCTACTGTTTTCTTTCTGTTGAACATTCCCTGGGTCTTGAAGCGGTGCCCGTTTGGGATTCTGGCATTTCTGGGGGTGACTTTTGGCTTGCTATACACAATGCCAACCCTGAACACATCTTCCTATGACATAATTCAACTCAAAATTCCAATCATTGTTCCTGGTTTATTTACATGTGCTCTATTCATACACTGAGTGAACCTGAGCTTCCATATATGCAAGATTCATCTTATGAAATAGTTAAGTAATAACCACTTAGGTTTTGGAAACCTCTTATTTATTCCTTAGTAAGCTTTGACTCATTTGTTTGTTAATTTTATTATAGTTCTTAAACATAAGCTTTTTGTTTTCATTATGAGTAATCATACTGCAAAGCATAGCTTTTTGTGGAGCGTTGATTACTTTCCTGGTAGTGTGCTAAGACCTTGGCCTTGGAAGTTGTGTGTCCTGGGTTTGAATCCCCATTTGCCACTTAAAAATGTGTGAGGTAGTTGCATACTCTCTTTGTGTTTCATTTTCCTCATCTTACAGTACAGTATGTAGAACAGTGCTTGGCAAAGAGTAAGGTTTGAATCTAAGTCTCATTGCACTGAGACAGAAACTAGCATGATCCTAATACAAGCACTGCAGGAAGCTCATGGCAAATGGACTTAAAAAAGATAAAATTTATATGCAGAAGTTTTTTAAATGCATGCAATTTTTCAATATACATTTTTTCATGAATTTTTTGAAGACTCCTATTATTTTTGCCTATTGTGTAATATGTGATTTTAAATGTTTTGGTCCTAATTCCTCCCTTAGAGTGGAGTGTAATTATTTAGGCAAGTCTGACATTAGGAAGTCAGTAAAAGCAACAAAATGGAGAGAAGAATGATTTACAAGTACAGGTTGTTTCTCTGCAGCGCCTGCCCGAGAGCCTATGTGTCAGAAGGAGGTGGAATACGTGTGAATTGGCTGTTCCTTTGTCTGGGCTCAGGTTAGCTGTGCATTTGCTCACTGAGACTGGCTTGCCAGGCTGCATGTGACTGGAGTCTTCTGAGGTTCTCCACACCACATGGCCCCTGCAGCACTAGCCAGCTTTTTCAGTTAGTGTTCAACAAAAGGAATAACAATTTTTGTTTAACCCCCATAAGGAAAGATTGGCTTTGATGGATTCATTGTGAGGTGGCATAAAGTCTCCAGTGAGATCACATGGTATACGGCTGTGTATGCATTTCTGACTGTTTGAGGAATTTACAATGGAATTTTTTTTTTTTTTTTTTTTGCAAATATACTCTTTTGGAAGTCAGCTGTCTAAGATGTGATTCTACTTTAATGCTTTTATTTTTATTCTAATTTAAATCTTTTTCATTAAACATTTATTTCAGAGACAGAAAGAGATAGAGCTTTTATTGTTTGTTTCATTCCCCAGTTGCTTGCTGAGTTCAGGGCTGTGCCACACTGAAGCTGGGAGCCACTAAATCGTTTCTGGGCTCTGCGCTAGAACCCTTGAGCCATTACATGCTGCACACACGAGGAAGAAGCTGGAATCATTTTGGAACAAATTCTATTTTAGTAATTTTTCCTATTTTCTTTTTCTTTTGAAGGTTAAAATGAGCTTATTGGTAGACTTGACAAATACTTCAAGATTCTATGATAGGAATGACATAGAAAAAGAAGGAATTGCATATATAAAACTTCAGTGTAAAGGGTAAGTTATGTGTTAAGATTGTATAATACCAAAACCTTTTATTGACATTTTAATTTTTCATTAATTTTCCTTCATATTACTAGACATGGTGAGTGCCCTACAACCGAGGTTACAAATACATTTATTCGTCTGTGTGAGCGGTTTCATGACAGAACTCCACCCGAACTTATCGGTATGTCTGTGTTATTTTAACTATTATTGGATATTTTACAGTTTTACGTGTGACTTGTTATTAAAAGCTTTTTCTTCTTCTAATGACCAATTATTATTTATTAAATTAATGAACTAACTGTTCTGAGTTACAACAAGTGTATTTATGTAATTTCTCCATTTTTTTGAGGTAAAGCCCTAATTGACCCTCTTCAGATACACTGTTCAGAACTTCTACCTGAAATACAATACATCTGAAAATTGTAAAAAAATAAAATATATATAGATATAAGTATATATATATATTTATATACATATATATGTAAACTTTTTCCGCATAACTTTGCACTTAACATGGAGTGCTTCAAAATATTTTTCACTCAGGATATTTCTGGGAGTGACCCATGATGTATGTCACCATAGCTCGTTTTTGCTAGAGCGTAGTATCTTGTTGTGAATGGGCGTTCTGCCGATGAGCAGGTCCTGCAGCAGGTTTTGTAGGTAGCTCTGTGTGCTAGGTGTAGGCTCATGGAACACAACAGCGACAAAACCAGGCTTCTTTTATTTTTCAGTTTCAGAATAATGAATTGGCACCTTAGCAATCTCCATTGGTGACTGATCCATTTTATTTTTGTAGTATTCATGCACTCATGAATTTTCTATACTTGTATTTATTTTTATTTACGTATTTATTTACTTTTAAAAGATGAATGCATTCGAAAGGCAAAATATAGGGGTGGGGAGATGGAGAGTAAGCTTCCATCTGCAGGCTCACCTCTCAAGTGGTTTACACCAGCTGGAGCCCGGCTGGTCTGAAGCTAGAAGCTTAGAGCTTCTTTGTGGTCCATTTTGTTGGTATGGTGGCCTAAGCGTCTGAACCAGCCTCTGCTGCTTTTCTAGACCATTTATGGGGAGCTGTATCAGAAGTGCAGCAGCCAGGACTTGAACCAACATCCATATGGGATGCTGACACTGTAGGTTACAACTTTACCCTCTATGTCATACCACCTGCCCCAAGTTGATGTATTTAAGTTAATTTCAGTAAATATTTTTTTTTTTTGTTACTGGCTCTGTTTTTTTTTTTCCCCCAAAGATTTATTTTTATTGGAAAGGTGGATATACAGAGAGAGGGAGAGAGAGAGAGGAAGATCTTCTGTTTGATGGTTTATTTCCCAAGTGGCCACAACGGCTGGAGCTGAACCAATCTGAAGCCAGGAGCCAGGAGCTCTTTCACGTGGATGCAGGGTCGCAAAGCTTTGGGCCATCTTTAACTGCTTTCCCAGGCCACAAGCAGGGAGCTGGATGGGAAGCAGGCTGGGATTAGAGCTGGCGCCCATATGGGATTCCGGTGCGTGCAAGGCAAGGACTTTAGCCACTATGCTATCGCACCAGACCCTACTGGCTCTGTTTTACACCAGTGGGAATTCACGCAAGTTGATTTTAATATTACACGGTCAATGTTTTATTCTCTTGTTTGATGACAAAAGATGTTTTTCAGGCTTGGAATCAGTTATCTTACCGTGAGGTCCGATTCCGTAAGTGACAGATAGTATTTAGAGGTAGTCTAGGTGTTAAAACAGTATATCCTGTTATTAAAGACTATGTATGCTTGTGCAGTTATATAATAATATTAATCGTAGTGGGAAAAATACACTGATTCATGCCATATCAGCTCAGGGCAAGTTTTATCCCTAAACAATTTAGCAAAATATAATTTTCAGAGCTTTTTTCAGATTGTAATTAGTAGGAGAGATTGTGGAGCTGATTTGCATTTGCTTATGCATACAGAAATAAACTATGAGTGAGACTTTTGTTAAAGATTGATTTATTTTTTATCTGAGAGGCAAATTTATAGTGAAGAAAGGAGAGACAGAGAAAGAGAGAGAGAGAGAGAAAGAGAGAGAGAGAGAGAGATATCGGTCGGTCGATCTTCCATCCTCTGGTTCACTCCCCAAATGGCTGCCACTGAAGCTAGAATCCTGGGACTCTGCTCGTGTCCCATTTGGCTGACAGGGACCCAAGCACGTGGGCCATCTTTCTCTGCTTTCTTCAGTGTGTTAGTAGAGAGCTAGACTGGAATGGAGCAGTGGGCCTTGAACTCTTGCCTATATGCAATGGCAGTATTGCAATTGGCGCCTTTTATCTGCTGTGCCACAGCACTTATCCCAAGGGTCAGGCTTTTGTAGAGTGGAAAAATTTAAGAATTAGCTTTATGTTGAAAGAGAAAGAGCCAATTTCCTTTTGAATGGTCAAGTGTACAGCAAAATACATAGGGTAGCTCTTGACTCTTAAGTATTTTAGATATTACTAATTATCCCGATTGAGAACTGGTATTTCCACTTAGTAGCACATTTTATTTTGATATGAAGATGGCTTGCTTTGAATCAATAAAAATTTCAGTTATTTGCCGCGCAATGCCTTCATTTTTCATTATTCAGTTTCTTGTTTGTCCTTGTTTTTTTCTCATTTGGGCTGGTGTCTCAGCCTCAGTGGGCTGACACATTGCACTTGGTAGATCTGCGTGGTGAGGGGCTTCTCTGTGCTTTGAAGGATGTTCGGAAGCATCTGTGGCTTCACATGCTGCTACTTTCTCTCCAGTTCTAACAAGCCATGTCCTTATGCTGCTAATGTTCCTTGGAGGGCTATTGACGTACACTGGTCAGATACATTTTTTTTTTTTGTCCTAGAAATTTATCCAGCTAGTGAGAAAGAAGTTAAAAATACTGAGGCCAGGCTGTATTGAAAAAAGTATATTGTCACCAGCCCTTTATAAGCCACTGCTTTGTGGTTTATAAGTATAGCATTTGTTGGGCCCGGTGGCGTGGTCTAGCGGCTAAAGTCCTAGCCTTGAACGTGCTGGGATACCATATGGGTGCCGGTTCTAATCCTGGCAGCTCTGCTTCCCATCCAGCTCCCTACTTGTGGCCTGGGAAAGCAGTTGAGGATGGCCCAAGGCTTTGGGACCCTGCACCCATGTGGGAGACCTGGAAGAAGTTCCTGGTTTCTGTCTTCGGATCGACATAGCACTGGCCGTTGTGCTTACTTGGGGAGTGAATCATCGGACGGAAGATCTTCCTCTCTGTCTCTCCTTCTCTCTGTATATCTGACTTTCCAATAAAAAGTAAATAAATCTTAAAAAAAAAGTATAGCATTTGTGTTTGTATAGCTATAGCTCATCTTTCCCTTGTTAGAGATTGATACAATTTTAAAAGTTTATTTAAAAAGCAAAGTGAGAAAGTAGGAAAGATAGAGAAAGAAATTGTCCATTCCCTGGTTTACTTCTCAAATGTGCACTACGCTGGGGCTTGGCCAGGTTGAACCTAAAGCTTGATCGATGTCTCCCATGTGGGTGGCATGGGCCTAGGTACCCACACCATCTGCTGCTTTACCAGGTACTTTAACAGGTAGCTGGATTGGAAGCAGAGCAGCTAGGACTTAAGCTGGCTCTCTATATGAGATGCTGGCATTGTAGGTAGAGGTGGCTTAATCTTCTGCCATAATGCTCTTTCTGGTGTCTTTTCTTAATTTGACTTATGTCATGTTAAATTATTTTATTGTATTAGCTTGCCTAGATAAATAAAGATAGATCTGAATAAGAAGTTGCCTTGAGGGCCTGGCGCAATGGCCTAGTGGCTAAAGTCATCTTGTGTGTGCTGGGATTCCATATGGGCGCTGGTTCTAATTCAGGCAGCTCTGTTTCCCATGCAACTCCTTGCTTGTGGTCTTGGAAAGCAGTTGAGGATGGCCCAAAGCCTTGGGACCTGCACCCTCAAGGGAGACCTGGAAGAGGCTCCTGGCTCCTGGCTTCACATTGGGGCAGCTCTGGCTGTTGCGGCCACTTGAAGAGTGTATAAATCAACGGAAGATCTTCTCTTCCTCTCCTCCTCTCTGTATATCTGACTTTCCAATGAAAATAAAATAAATCTTAAAAAAAAAAAACCAAGTTGCCTTGAAATAGTTAAGCAAGCTAGCCATCAGATATAAACTGTTTTCTTTGCCACTAGATGGACCTATTCTCATAATAAAATAAAGACAGTTGGAAAAATGCTTCTTTGTTAAACATTAGAGGCATACTTAAGCCTGTAGTACTTATTTAATGGCAATTTTAATATCTATGTATTGTCTTCCAAGCTTTTCTGTAGGATCTTTTTTTTTTTTAAAGATTTATTTTTATTATTTTTTTATTGGAAAGGTGGATATACAGAGAGGAGAGACAGAGAGGAAGATCTTCCGTCCGATGATTCACTCCCCAAGTGAGCGCAACGGCCGACACTATGCCGATCCGAAGCCAGGAGCCTCTTCCGGGTCTCCCACGCGGGTGCAGGGTCCCAAAGCCTTGGGCTGTCCTTGACTGCCTTCCCGGGCCACAGGCAGGGAGCTGGAAGGGAAGCGGGGCTGCCGGGATAGAACTGGCGCCCATATGGGATCCCGGGTGTGCAAGGCGAGGACCTTTAACCACTTGCGCCACCGCGCTGTTCCCTTGTAGGATCTTTTTTGATGAACATTTGTATGTTAATAGTTCTTATTTTGCTTTTAGAATTGGGTTATCCATTAATATTTTGAAATTCAATTGAGTAATAAGACTAAAGCTTTAAGAACTTTAACCTTTCCACTTTAGAGAATATTAAGAGGAATTATACTAAAAGAAATATTTGCTTGGGGCTGACATCGTGTCACAGTGAGTTAGGTAGCTGCCTGTGGTGCTGTATTCTCTGAGCTCTTTTTTGAGTTCCTGCTTCTGATTCAGCCGCTTGCTGTTATGCCTGGGAAAGCAACAGAAGAAGGCCTGAAGTGCTTAGACCTCTTTCATCCCTGTTGGAGACATGGATGGAGTTCAGGCTCCTGGCTTGGATTTCTCCCAGCCACGTTGTTGTGACCATTTGGGGAGTGAATCAGGAAATTGAAGATTTCTCTCTAACTCCTCTCCTTTCAAAAAAGTAAATCTTAAACCATTTTTGCTTATTTATTTGTTTGATTGACAGGAAGGGAGAGAACCCCCGTTTAGTAGCTCCCTCCCCAAATGCCTTCAGTATCTGTGACTGGGCCAGGCTGAAGTCAGAAGTCGAGAAGAACTAGGTCTGATTCTGCCGCAGAGGTGCAGGCACTCTTCTACTTGCATCATCATTTACTGCCTTGCAGGGTCTGTTAGCAGGAAGCTGGAATTGGAGGCAGAGGCAAAACGCCTAAGAAGGCATCCTGAGGTGGAAGCATTCCAGGCTGGTGGCCGCACTGCTGGGCCAGATGCCTGCCTTGCTCTCTTAGATTAGGTACTTTGACATGACTTACTACTGAATTGGCACATTCCTTCCTTCCTTCCTTTTTTCTTTCTTATATTGTTTACATAGTTGAGAGGGTGCGAGCCTGTGTGGGCCTCTGGTTAGGATGGGGAAGTTTAGGGACGGAGGAAGGTGAGTGGAATACATGTTTCAGTTTTTTCCTCCTCTGTCAACAGGGGAGTAGAGGGAGGGGACACTCCTTGCTGTCAAACACCCTCAGCACCCGGGAGTGGGGCCTGGTTCTTTGATGACACGTTAGAGACCCCCAATGTGGGAAAGAGTGTCCGAGGGTGTTACGGAATGCACTTATTCTTTCTTTCTTTTTTTTTTTTTTAAGATTTATTTATTTATTTATTTTATTGGAAAGTCACATTCAGAGAAGAAGATCTTCCATCCCGTGGTTTATTACCCAAGCGGCTGCAACGGCCAGAAATGAGCCAATCTGAAGTCAGGAGCCAGGAGCTTCTTCTGGGTCTCCCAGGCAGGTGCAGGGTTCCAAGGCTTTGGGCCTTGGTTATATTGCTAGACTTATACTAACAGCCAGACTCCATCCTTGTCTGTCTTCAGAAGAGTGACAGTGGCTGCTTGGGTCATTAGGGAGCTGGATCAGAAGTGACTATGCTGGGTTACGAATAGCTCTCTGATATGGAATGCTGACATTGTAAGTGGTAACTTAACTCACTGTGCCACAGTGCTTGCTGTTATTTTATTTTTCAAAGTTTATTTGTTTATTTTTTGTTTAGTTGAAAGATGGAGTGACAGAGAGAGTTGGGGGAGGGGAGTATAAGAGCGAGAAAGAGACATCTCTGTCTGTTGGTTTACTCCCTAGATGCTTGCAACTGCTGAGGGTAGGCTGAAACCAGGAGCTAGGAGGTCATTCTTGGCCTTATGTGTGGCTGGCAGGGACCCAAGTGCTTGAACAGTCAGTTGCCTCCCAGGGTGGGCACTAGCAGGAAGCTGGGTTGGAAGCAGAGTGGACCTTGATACTGCTGGGAACATTGGATGAATGTTGGATGTCCCAAACAGATTTTAACTGTCAAGTACCTGCCCATAAGCATTTATTCAAAAAATTAAAGCTATTGTAAAGATACAGTCAGTTGGTTTCTAGAGAACTGTTGCAGTTTTAATATTTTTATTGTATTACATATTCATTAATTATTTTCCATAGACAGTAACTGTGGTTGATTACATTCTGTTAACATCAACTTTTAGAGGAATTGATGTTCCCATTATTTCTTTATTATGCTTTATTTTCTAGATTCATCCATTGTTTGACTCATTCATTTACAGTTAGAGAGGCAAAAAGACAAAAAAGAAAAAAATTTGCCTGCAGTGGCCAGCACTGAGCCAGGGTGGAGCTAGGGCTGACATGGGGTGCAGGAACACAGTCCAGAACTCCCCTGTGGTGGTGAGGACTCACTTAGAACTGTCACCTGGTGCTTGCTAGGTCTGCACTGTGGGAAGCTGGACTCAGGAGTTGGAGCTTGGAATCCAGACATTACATTGTGGGGTATGGGTGTCTTAACTGCTAACCGAATGCCTGCTCGTGTATTATAAAAATTGTCTTCTGACTAACTTGTCAGTATTTCCCATTGGCTATAGGGGAGAGTGGAAAATTTATTGAATTTGTGAATTGGACATATCTGTGTGTATGCTTATGTCTTTAGTGGAAGATCTTATTTAAAATGGTTGGAATTGGGCCCGGCGCAGAGGCCTAGCTGCTTAATTACTCTCCTTGCATTTCCCGGGATCCCATATGGGTGCCAGTTCTAATCCCAGTAGCCACACTTCCCATCCAGCTTCATGCTTATGGCTTGGTGAAGCAGTTGAGCACAGGCCAAGGCCTTGGGACCTTGCACCCACGTGGGAGACCTGGAAGAAGATCCTGGCTCCTGGCTTCAGATCAGCTCAGCTCCAGCCATTGCAGCCACTTGAGTAAATCAACGGATGGCAGATTTTCCTCTTTGTCTCCTCTCCTCTCTGTATATCTGACTTTCCAATAAAAATAAATAAATCTTTAAAAGAAGTAGTTAGAATTTTCTAGGCAGTTAAGATTTGTAACCTAAGCCAATATAATGTATATATAGTATATTTAAACTTGTAGCTGATATTTTAGATTGTGAAGTTACTAGGTTATAATGTTTTAAGATTTAAAAAATGTGATTTTATAAAATGATGGAAATGTTTTGACTACAAGTTGGGATTTTGAGGTAAAATGTGACCCTTGAAATGATTCATTAATTTTAAACCAAAGCTGCTTTATTTTCCAGGTGTTCATTGTACCCACGGTTTCAATCGCACTGGCTTCCTCATATGTGCCTTTTTGGTGGAGAAAATGGATTGGAGGTATTTGTGTCTTTTTATAATGGAAGAGGATATATTTAGTGATTGTTAAAAGACTTACTGATATTTCAGCTTTAGCATTTTATATTGCTATCTCAAAAGATAATTTTATAATTTAAAATTTATTTACTTGAGAGAGAACAAGTGAGTGAGAGAGTGTCCACCTGCGAGATTACTCTCCATATGCCCACGAAAATTGGAGGTGGGCCTGGCTGAAGCTGGAGGCTGGGCACTGAGTCCAGATCTTTCCTGTGGAAGATAGCAACTTGGAAACTTGGGGTGTCATCTGCCGACACCCAGGGAGCACATTAGCAGGAGACTGTCCCCAGGAATGGAGCCGAGAATGAACCCAGGCACTCTGTGGTGCGACGTGTATGTGCCAGTAGGGATCGTCAGGGCTAGGCCACACACCTGCCCCATTATGTTGCTAAGTTCTTGGTAAATTCATGATTGATAGGATGATTTTCATTTTAAATACGGTGAATTTTTAGAATGCCATTTCTCATACTAGGTAACACTTTAGTTGAGTCCTTAAGAGGTCTGTAAACTATTTATTTGCAGTCTGATTTTTTTCATGTTTTCTAGAATTGTCAGACAAATTCTGCTAGTATCTTGTGCTTATATTCAGCCTTGGTAATCATTAATAGTACCTTTCTGTAGCTGTTGAAAATGAAGCAAAGCTTATACTGAGATATACAGAAAGGAATTTTGTGACAGGTAACTCTGTATAGACCAGTTGACATATTCTTACTGACTGTCTATTACTTGTGAAGTGCATTTATAGGTCTTGGGAAATTAACTGTAGTTACTGTATTTTTTGAGAAAATGAGATATTACTATTGACTGTGGATCATTTTTTATGTCTACAAAGTCTTTCACATAGTAGGTCCTTTCTTGATGGAATAAGCTAGAATCAATTGTTCATTGTGTGTATCCGCAGTGGTTTTCTACTATTTATTTCTTCCTTCCATCTCTCCTTCTTTCCTTCCTTCCTGTCTGCCTCTCTTTTGTTAGATTTATTTATTTATTATTTGAAAGCTAGAGTAGCAGAGGGAAGGAGAGATGTAGAGAGATCTTCCATCTGCAGGTTCATTTCCCAGTGGCCATAGTGTCCTGAGAAGTCAGGAGCCTGGAACTCTGTTTAGGTCTCCCACATATGAGACAGGGTCCCAAGTACTTGGAACATGTTTTGAATTGAAAGCAGAATAGCCAGAACTCAAACCAGCGCTCTTGGGATGCCAGGATTGGCACCTGCATGCGCTTTCTAGCTGTTACCACTCAGATGCAGTATACCCTAATCCTGGTTTCTCTTTGTGACTCAGCCTATCTTGGCATGGCCCAGCTGACATTGGTGCCTGCGCCTACAAAGCCAGCATGCTTTCACGTTTGTGCACATTGCTGTTTGTATTGCTGTGACTGCTGTTCTTTCAAGGCTTTGTTTAAATTCCTCTCCAATCCTACCTAGCTCTCCTAAATCTCATAGCAGTTTAGGAATGATCAGCATATGTCACATTAAAACTGTTTCAGAGTTACAATGTCTCTTCAAAGATTGATTGCCTTCATAATGAGAACCATGGTTTGTCCATTTTTATAAACTTATACTTTCTATGTTCCCTTCAATGTAATAAATGTATTGTGTTGACTGTTTAAGTGGAGAATGGAGAAGGAATTGTATGCTGTTTGTTTTCTGTAGTATTGAAGCAGCAGTTGCTACTTTCGCCCAAGCCAGACCACCAGGAATCTATAAGGGTGATTATTTGAAGGAACTCTTTCGGCGCTATGGTGATATAGAAGAAGCACCACCCCCACCTCTGTTGCCAGATTGGTGTTTTGAAGATGATGAAGATGAAGATGAGGAAGAGGATGGAAAAAAGGAATCAGAACCTGGATCAAGTGCTTCCTTTGGCAAAAGGAGAAAAGAACGGTTGAAACTGGTAATGCTAAAATAAGTTTATAATAGTTTCTGTCTTCTGCAAGCTTATTGAGAGGGATAAAAATGGAATGTTGATTGAGTTTCTTTAGCTAGATTTGTAAGGTTGCTTCATTCTGGCTGTTCTTCCTTCTTTTGTTTCTTCTTTCCCTCCATCTCTTTCTCCCTTCCTCCTCCTCTGCTTTCTTCATTGCTCCCTTCCTTGTTTAGGTTTATTTATTTGAAAGGCAGAGTTATGGAGAGAGAGGAAGAGAGACAGATCTGCAGTCTGCTGGTTCACTCTCGAAGTGGCTGCATTGGCCAGTGCTGGGCAAGGATAAAGCCTGGAGACCTAAACTCTATCTGGATTTCCCACTAGGGTGCAAGGACCCAAACACTTGGTCCGTCTTCTGCTGGTTTTCCAGCTGCAGCAGCAGGGAGCTGGATTGGAAGTGGAAAATCAGTATTTGAACTTGTGGCCATACCACAACACTGGCCGCCATTCGGTTTAGATTCTTAACAGTCATACTCCTTTTTTTTTTTTTTTTTTTTTAAGAGGAAAGAACTGCAGTTGTGTGAATGAATTTTGTTTCTGAGTTAAATCAAAGAACTAGACATTATTAGATTTTGAATTTATTATTAATATTTCTGCAAAATATGGGTAGATAGTTTGTGAATAGCTAATGAAGACTTTTATTATTACTGTACAAATGGTCACAGTTAAAATAACTTATGTATGAACTCTGCTTTCCCCAGAATCCGTATGGTAGTGTTTTTTTAATGCTTTCCATAAAGATGAAGCAAGAAGACTTATTTCCTTTCTAGCTCACTGTAATTAGTCTTCTAGATATAAAAGGACCAACAGGAACATATGAGATTATGGCCTTGGCTTTGGTGCAAGAGAACTGTCAAAAGAAAAGTGCACATATCAGTGTTTGGTATAGGCTGAAGGGTGTGGTTACGGCGAGTCTGAATGCAGGAGCAGCACACATCACTGTTTATCTATTCAGAGGTCAAGGTTCCCTGGTTGAGAAGGAAACACCTTCATTATTTTATGTAGATCATATATTTGTTTATTTATTTATTTAAGTTTTTGTTTGAAAAAACACTTTTATTTTATTTACACATTTCCAATTTTAAGAGCAAGTTAATTATAAATAACTTTGAAAAAGGGGAACAACCCTGAAAGAACTTTTATTTATTTATTTATTTATTTATTTATTTTATTATTTTTTCATTGGAAAGGCGGATATACAGAGAGGAGAGACAGAGAGGAAGATCTTCCATCCGATGATTCACTCCCCAAGTGAGCGCAACGGGCCGATACTATGCCGATCCGAAGCCAGGAGCCTCTTCTGGGTCTCCCACGCGGGTGCAGGTTCCCAAAGCTTTGGGCCGTCCTCGACTGCTTTCCCAGGCCACAGGCAGGGAGCTGGAAGGGAAGCGGGGCTGCCGGGATTAGAACTGGCGCCCATATGGGATCCCGGGTGTGCAAGGCGAGGACCTTTAACCACTTGCGCCACCGCGCCAGGCCTGAAAGAACTTATTTTTAAATCTAATCACTATTTGAAGCTAATTATTGCTTCTGGGATTGAGGTGTCTGAAGTTAGTAAATTGCATAACTAGGAAATCTGTTTGGTATTGTTGGATACTAAGAGAAATGTTTTTAAGACTTCTACCTTCATTATCAATTTACTTATTGCTCTTTGAAGTTATATCAGATTTTTCTGTTAATATATTTTGAGTTGCTACTACTTGATACGTGCAGATATGTGTTATAATGTCCAGCATTATTGCACATTACTAGTGTAGTTGCACGAACTTTTGGATGTCTTTTTGATAGTGTTAGAAGTATCTTTCATCTATCTTTTTTAAGATTTACTTATTTTTATTGGAAAGGAAGATTTATTAAGAGTGGAAGAAATGCAGAAAGATCCTCCATCTGCTGGTTCACTCCGCAAGCGGCCACATGCCTGGAGCTGAGCTGATCCAAAGCCAGGAGACAGGAATTTCTTCTGGGTCTTCCATGCGGGTGCAGGATTCCAAAGCTTTGGGATATCCTCCACTGCTTTCTGAGGGCACAGGCAGGGAGCTGGATGGGAAGTGGAGCAGCTGGGACGTGAACTGGAACATCAGCTGGTGCCCATATGGGATCCTGGAGCATGCAAAGCGAGAATTTAGCCATTACGCTAACACACTGAACTATCTTTTTACTTCTCATTTTTATTTGTTCCTTAAGGTGTATTTCTTTCTTTTTTTTTTTTTCCCAAAGGAATTATTTATTTGAAAGACAGAATGACAGAGAGAGGGGGAAGGAACAAGAGAGAGAGAATGAGAGTGATTCCATTCCAATTTACTCTCCAAATACCTAAAAGAGCCAAGGCTAGACCAGGCTGTTTATCACAGACTCCATCTGGGTCTCCTACATGGGTGGCAGGGAGACAAGTTCTCGGGCCATTATCTGCTGCCTTCACAGACCCATTGGCAGGAAGTTGAGTCGAAATTATGGGATAGCTGGACCTTGATCTGGCACTTAGATACTGATGCCAGCGTCACAACTGATGACTTTGCCCACAGTATCATCTCCTAAGGTTTGTTTCTTACAGGTATCATATTGCTGGTTTTTATTTATCTGGTCAACATATTTTTGCCATTTTATTTACATATTTAAATTTTTAAAATATTGTTTTTAACTATGTAAATATTATTTACATAGTTGAGAGAGATGCATGCCTACGTGGACCTCTGATTAGGGTGGGAAGGGTCGGGTATGGAGGAGGGTAGGTGGAACATTTATGTTTCAGTTTTTTTTTTCTCTTGTGTGAGACATATGTTTTCTTGGAGATCTTCTGTCCAGCAGGCCCCGAGACCACCAAGGGGTGAGGCGACAGTACTCTTCTGCAGCAGAAACACTGGAGGCTAACTGGTGGTGAAGGATGTCTGTGTGCTTGAGAGAAGTCACAAACTTATATAGGAGAAGGAGGCAGGCAGAAGGGTGGTTCCCAACAGGACTTCAGTCAACAACAACATTGTGACTGGCTAATAACTTCAGTGAAGTTAGAGGTCAGGAAGCATAGGAAGTTGCGTCTTAGGGCAGACACCTTAGGTGCTGAAAGCCAGGATGAGTGTAACATTTGACTTCCTAGAGTTATTTATAAAGGAAGTCCTAGCAGAGTAGTTAAGAGATACTGGGGTGCAGCCCACCGCTCTCACTGCATGCCCAGTGAACAGACCATGTTGGGTTCTGTTAGCCAAGGGCACACCGTGCCATATGCCTGTGGCCTGCCATTTGGGCTAGGAGGCGGAGGTCCAAGGGGCAATCTCCCACAGTGTTTGAGACCCCAGAAGTCATTCCTCCCTGGTCAAACATGCCCTCAGTGACCCCCACGCTAGTATATCGCTAGGACCCCGTTCCTCAGGCGATCTGCAGCCCCTTAATCTGGGAGGCCGAGATGGCATGTTTTGGCCTGGAGTTCCTTGCCTTCCCCACTTATTATGTTTTTAAAAAAAAGAATAAACAACTATGCTGGTGTACTGGTATTAGTAAGACAAACTTGGCATTAACCAGGACCAGAATTCCTGCCAACTACTGGTTGCTTTTCTCCTAGCAGTGTAACACTTGTGTATGTGCAAGGCAACCTCGGCAGTTGTCTATAGCTAATGGCCATTTTACTTTAAATTTAGCTGTCTTTTATTTTTCCTTGTTGGGAAATTCCATTTTATTTTCCCTTCTTATCTGTATGGTTGGCTTTGTTATTCTATCACCCTCTTCATTGCTTGTGAGTGATGTATTTGTTTACGGGTATTTTAGTGGTCATCTAATATTTCAGTATACATCTTTGATTTGGTGAAGGCTGGTATGAATACTTTAACCACATTTTAGACAATATAAGAATCTTAGAACCTTTGTGATTTACCTCTTCCTGCTTTTTTTGACTTTGTATATTTTAATTTTCTATATTTTAGGGTCTTAATAATACCATTATTATTTTATACAGTTAATTAATATTCATTAGATGTTACCTACATACTTTAACCTTTCTGATATTCTTCTTAATTTTTCTTCTATTTTTGTGGTTCCATTTGGAGTCATTTTCTCTCCCAACTGAAGCACTCCTGTGGTGTTTCCTTTTATGTGGTCTGCTGTGACACGTTCTCTTAGTATTTGTGTGAAAATGTCTTTTTTTAATGTCATTTTGAAGAGCATTTCTGCTGACTGTTGAAACCTAGGTGCTTGGCAGTTACTTTTTCCTAGCACTTTGAAGATCCCATTGCAGAATCCATTTCTGTGAGAAGTCAGCTGTCTTCCTGTTGCCTGATGGCTGTTTCTTTCCCTAGCAGTTTTACTATTATATTGCTCCTTGTTGTTCTCTGTTTTTATCCTCCTTTGTGTCTGTAGAGATTCTTGAATCTGTGACTGGATTTTTCTTTTTATTGTAGTTTACACCATTCTTAGCCATGATCTTTTTAAGATATATTTTTTGATGATGTTTGCATAGTTGATTAAGGTGGGAATGTTTACATAGTTGATTAAGGTGGGAATGTTTACATAGTTGATTATGGTGGAAGGACAGGGGATTAAGGGAATGTGGGGTGTGATTATTGTTTCTAATATTTTTTTTCTTGATTCCTGTATCTTAGGGAAGGGTAAACATAGGGGGAGAAGCCACTCTCAACTTCTCAACCACCTCAGTGCCCGGGGTTGGAGAATGACCACTCGATATCAACCCAGGGTCCCCGATTTGGAACATGCTCAGAGGGTTCTGCTCAAGTGCTTTCAATAACTCTGAAATGCTGTTGATCTTGCAGATCCAAGGGAGAGAAAATCATTCCAAGGTTCACTGGCTGACCTAGTCCACTTTAGAGTCTCCATTTGCCAGATATTTGTTGTCCACGATTGGCTGGAGTAGTTAACCAATTTGTTCTGTCCTCATTCTTCTGTACTGGTATCAGATGTCCTCTGCAGGCCTCAGTGGACTGCCATATCCTCTGTGTGCATCTAGGCATGCCATCCCACTGCTCTAA